GGATTTATACTGGTGTAACTGGCAATGACTATGTGTGTAAATTTGTACAACTTTTCTATGAATCAAGAAGGCAAAAATAAATTTGAAAGCAGAGTGACATTCTGGTGTGAGATGGGAAATCCCATCTCAAGAGCAACCCCACAAAACTGTCTGGTGTAAACCAGAGCAAAAAACCCCTAAACTAAAACTAGAATATTACAACACCAGAAGCCACTCAAAAAGAGAAAGGCTATGTTTATAGAAACAGAAAGGTATTTCCTCCTCTTCTTTTCTCTCAGTGAAACTGGTTTAAAAATGAGTAAGTCTTTTAACATTACTGGACTGGGGTTCAGCATCTTATCAGGTATACTAGTTGGCTGTGTTGTAGTCTAGGAAGGCTTCCGCCCATAGACTTTTAGGAGCGTCAGAGAAACTTCACAACTACAGTGAAGAAAAGAACTCTCTTCCCACATACATGGATATAAGCTTTAGGGGACAGCTGTAAACAGATGTCTTCCACTTCTGGAAAGAGATCCAGAACATGGACAGTCAGCTTCAAGGACAAAATGTTAAGACAGATCACTGTGAAATTTGCTTTATCTAGTTATTGTACTGCCACACTGGTCAGTCTATTGTCAGTCTTACTGTTCTGAGTGAACAGAATTTCAGGTAGGATCACAGCCCTGTTAAAAACCCCTCAGATAGGTAGTTGGCAAGCACCACCATTAAAGCTCCAGGAATTTAACACTTTACTCTTTCTTTAGTTTTTAAAAACGCAAAATCCACGATGATACCCGACTCAGAAAGTAAAGTGATAGTGGGCGTGACGTTCCTATCCCACATAACACTGTCGCGCCTGTGAAGACGGGACAGTAAGGATTTCAGAAAGCAGCAACATTCCTGTGAAATAGAAATGTAACTTCTGTCTTGATTTTAGCTTGATACAGGGTTTCACTAAGATGTCAGTGAACTCAACAATTTTGAAGGATGCTGACTGAAGTGTGACAATTCACTCAAACTCATATCCTAAGTATTACAAAAAGAACACATGTACATATTTAATTGCCTTGAAAAACAACGTGTTCTGAAGCTCAAAGATCATCCCCAGCGCTCCATACAGTGGTGTGCTGCTGTGCGCTGATAATTGCATGCATTCTAATGAGACAGACAATTCGGAGCTTGATGCATTTTTGGTAGACAACCTCTACAAAGAATTTGCTGCCCATGTCTGCTAACATCTCACACATGCACAGTCAATGTTTGTGATGTTAGTGCACATGTGATGGGTAGCTATGGATTTGATGGGTTAATACAGGGACATGCAATGCAACAACGGCCAACTAGTGGGAACGGAGACACTACCTTTGACGAATATGATCTCTTGAATGCCAAGGCGTGTGGTACATAAATCGACTTTAAAGGGGGAAATGGTAAAGGAAAAAAAAACAAAAACAAACGTACAAAATGAAGCAAAATCAGTTCAAGATTGAAAACAGATGCACAGTAATAAATCAAAGCTGGTTTTAAATGAAACATAAAATTGTGCAAATGCTGAACGTGACCCAGACTGATGAAGCACAATGGAACTTCTGTCTGCAAAATCAGGTTTCCAGCACTCTCCTGAAGGCAATTAGCTTTGGCAGCCTCTTTGAAGATACAGTCAACTTGGAAATACCTTTTTCTGGAGGAATTATTTGGCCTTTATCTACCTATGGTTTTAATGTCCACAAAGCAAGTATGTGTATATACACATACAAAATTTCGGCTTAGGATTTGGAATAATGGCTTATGCTGGGGCATGTCTGGTCTGAACCAGCTCAGCCAACCATGTATTACTCTATCACACAACTCCCCATTTACAATCTGATTTACAACCTCTCCTAGGAGTTGTATTTATTTCATGGTTTTAAATTATCCCTACTTCATAGAAATTATAATTTGCATTTCACTAACATCATAAATATTTCTCACTGCTTTGTGACAGGAGAAACACCAGATGGGCTTGGAGTGGGTTAGGTGTCCTACAGTAATAGAATCTCTTTGTCTAAAAAGAGAGCCTTCAGAGAGCCTGAGGAGCTAAAATGGGGAGAAAGAGGGCGGGGACAAGGAGGGCGGGGACAAGGAGGGCGGGGACAAGGACTACCTTCTCTATCCAAAGACATTCTGCGTTGGTTACCCTGTACTCAAAAATAAGGCAAGTAAACTACTTAGTGTTTATAAGAGAGGTAAATTCCCCTTTGTGTCATAAAGGACAAAGGGCATTGTGTCATTCTGGGCGAACAGCCAGCATTTTGCATTTTCACATTTAATTAACTAAAAACAGTCACAAATGAAAAGCCTTATAACAACTTCAGCATGTTTGTAAACTTCAGTAAAAAGCAGGCTACCTGCAGCAGCAAAACGCACCTCTGATCACAATACCACAATTGTACAGGAACAATGACAAACACACATGCACACAATGACACGCCTATAAACACGAGACCCATGGGGCATTTACATTAGGAATTCTTTACGAGACACTTCCCTTGAAAGACACTACATTAAACAACGCTGAATTAATTCACTGTTGATCACAAAGAACAGGCTAAACAGAGCAAACTGTCTGGGCAGCAAGCTCACTACAATTACCAAAAAAAGCAGCACAAGCAGAATTTCAGTTTAGAGAAGGGGTTCACATAAAAGTTATGTGGCACACAGGAAGTCAACTCTTACCCATAATAAGTAGCAGGCAGTTTGTAACTTAAAAAATATAACCCCCACCCCCAATCAGTAGAAACCCAGTTTTGTCAGTCTCGAAGTTCAGTTACATTTCTTTTGACAGCGAGGCATTCCAGTGATTGCACGTACGTTCTGCATCCTTGGACAGGATGCAATAAAACTAGGTTAAGTGGAGTTCTCAGATTCATCTCCTCTGAATAAATTCATTCTCAGAACTATTCTTTAGAAAATGGGGGGATGCTGAGTGAAGAAATTCTTCATGTAGCTTCAGCGACAGCAGATGGGAGGAAATGAGACACCACCCCCACAGCCTTAGCAGAGCTGGTGAGGTATTTTCAGTATTAGGATTCCAGGCATCTGCCACTATAACCTATCCCCTCCAATGCTTAGTGATAAGATCTTTTTTTCTGCAAAAACCATTTTAAATCAAAGTAGCTCAGCACAGAAAAAAAAGTGACCATCAAGGCATACTAAAGTCTGAAAACAAGCATGGACCTTACTGAAGCCCTGCTTCCTCCTGAAGGAGCTTACAAGGCAGAACAGTAACCCCGTAACTCTTATCTGAACCCCCTGCATTGCGTATCTGTCCTCTGCTAGCCACAGGTACCTCATTCTTCTGCATCTCTTGGAAAATGCAGAATTTCTCATGAAACGCCTTGAGGGCATGCAAGGAGGAATGGAAAGGGGAGAGAAAAAAGGGAATAAAATAAAACCAAAATAATCTTCCTCTTAGATCTAGATCAGCTAGGGAGAGAGATTAAAAGAGAGGTAAATAAATACAGAAAATTCCTACTTACTTCATCAACTCCTTACACCAGCCTTAAATTAATTAGTTATTCTAATTCATTCCAATTCATATACATAGAAAGCATTTCCTACGACACTTTCATATGCAGTACTTCCATACCTTTGCCATCTAAGCCAAGTATCAACTAGATGCTGCCATTTGAGACTCTGTGCACGCTGGATGACAGGTTTGAGACAGGAGGCACAGACCACTGTGTCTGTGACAGTACCCTCTCAGATGCTCTCTTCTTCCCAAGTTTTTTTAACATGTGAACCAGGCACTATTGGGAAGGGAGAGGGGGAACATATTTTTCATTCTTCAGTACCAGAAGGGCCTTAGAGTTCTGTGAGGGTCAACGAAATCTTTACTTATTCCTCCAAACCTTGCAAACTCTGTCTAGCAGAGCTTAGAAACTCTCAGGAATGAAAGGAGGGCTCTTCCCCATTACTATGATGGAGCAGTTCCTTACATTTTTGTTGTGGTCACTTATTTTTGCATTAACAGTGCCATCCTAAAATTGAAATAAATAATTTAAAAGCAACTAACTTTGGCACGTGGCTCTCACCATGTATTTTTCCACATATAAATATGTGCAAATAAACTAAATGTATTTTTCCCTCTGGGCTTTTATGGAGACCCACTGGTGTCTCATCTTTCCTCCTCAGTAACTTCCTTAAAGCACCATTTAAAGTGAAACTATTTTGGCTAGAAAGCCGTTGATATGTCTCACAGTATGACATTATAGCACTTGCTAGGGAAGTGGTCGGGAACAAGAAACAGCTCTCTCAGAAGAAGCAGAGCTCATACCAGACCACACTGGAATGAGAACACCAGGCTAAGACCAATCCCTATATACTGGTATTTCACAGGGGCTCACTACTATGTATTTCAGCTTCACAGGTGTTATGTACACACACACAGACATATGGAAATACTCAGCAACAGACTTGATGATTTAAAGGTCTTTTCCAACCTAAATGGTTCTGTGAATCCAAGTCCACAAAGAAAACAGGGTCAAAATGGAAGAAACAGCTGATGGCTCATCTTTTCTCCAAAAAGAGAAGGTACTAATTCAGACTGTACACATTCTCTTCTCCCAGGAAAAATAAGCAAACCTGCATGAGTTGCAAAACCACAGCCTGTAGCTTACCTCTCAGTTGATGATCTTTCTTGACTATGTTCTTGACGTACGCAAAAGTACATTTCCGTCTGTAGTTTGCTTGGAATTCTACCACTTCAATCTATCAAAGAGGCTGGTAAAGTAATATTCTAAAACCGGACCCTTACAAAAAGCGAGATCTATCTCCTTGTAATAACATTAGAGCCAGTGAAATTTACTATTCTGACATTAAATGCCTGTTTTCCGTAGATCATTGGCATGCTCACAACAGGGGCAAAACTCACTATTCTGACTGTGATATTTGTTGTAAGGTAATGCCACAGTAAGACAACAGATCCATCATATAATAACAGCAGGGAGTAGCTTGCGATTGTGAAACCAAGTGAAACCAACTTATTTAAGGCAGAACAGTCAGCCAACTTACGGGAAAGCCCGTTCCACAGAAGAAACAGTAAGAACAACAAAATTAACCATCCAAGTTTCTGATGTGGTTCTCTGAACCTGTGATCTCCATGATGCTAGATCCATCTAAAACGCATTTCCCATCTGCCTACCTCTCGCTTGGATTTCTGGGAGGAGCGTTCCAAAATATCATCACTGGAGAGGTCGGAGTCCTCTGAGAAACTCAGGTGTTGACGGAGCTGCAGCTCTAAGAAGGCAGAAATAAAAACGGGAAGTTAGAGAAGTGGTAACTATTCTTTCGGTAAACACTTCAGAACTCAGCTGATAAATTGTTTGCCTGAGCTTCAAAAATACTTAGTCCTTTTATGCCAGTCTCAGTTGCTTCGCCTAGGATTACAGAGTGATCAGAGAAGCGCTGCTGCATGAAATGATCAATATTTGTTAGAAGCTTCATTCTAAGAGAGCATAACTTTCTAAGAGAGCATAACTTTCTGCAAATGCTGTTAAAAATAATGGTGATGATTCTCCCTTTGTACCGCATCAATGCTCTTACGACAGATACAGCACTTGGATGACAGCAGCCAGTACTATTTTGGCTATCTGTACAAGGCCAGAGAAATGTAACATGTTCACTTTCAATCACATTTATGGCTAACTTATTTACTGTATCACAAGTTGCCATTAAACATCTCTGCCTGCACCTGATGGCATGTGAGAGATTTACACGAGGCCGCAGAATCCCCACGTCATAGATCTGCAGACAGTTGCCAGAGCACTGAGAACACTGGAGTAACTGCATCTTGGCAGCCTTCAGCATCCGTGGAGCCAGGTTGAAAGAAAGAGAAAAGACCACCCAAGGAAAAGATGATGATCAGGTTTAAAATAGAGTTGAAATGTCACAAACAACTGATTCCAACAAACAGTGCTTATTTCTCAAATCAGTCTAAGGCAGAAAACAGATGTGGCCTTTTACATATTGAGAGTGAAGCTTTTATTTAAGGATCCTTTTTTTTCAGTGGCGTAGCAACTAATTCTGTCAATAAGCAAACATACAACTCTAGTTGCTAGCACTTATCTCGATCTGGCCATTTGACACTGGGGAGCAGCGTCATTCAGCGCTGTAGCTGAATGACAAAGTAAGCCAAACTTATTTTCAAGGATACCTAGCTGTAGGAAAAGTACATGGTGCAGAGGCACCGACCTATTATACCTGCAGCTGTAACCAACGGAGAAGCTTTGTGCTTGCCAGAATCCACAGTGGCACTACTCGAGGGAGTACTTGGGCAGGATTTGTCGTCAGTCTTTTTCTTCTTGTCTTTCTTATACCCAGAGAAAACAGACTTCCATAATGACCTAGGCTTTGTTGCTTCCTCTGCCCCACCACTAGATTTGTCGGAAAGTCTGCTGTCATTTTTGGATTTCTTCTCCTTTTTGTTCTTACGAGGGGAGAAAAGAGAAGTTCTTTTCTTACTCTTCCCACTGGAGCCTTCTGAAGAGGTGACAGACCCTTCAGGTCCAGCCACATCAGCAGCAGGAGTGGAGAACTTCTCACTAGCAGCATCATGTTTTCTTGTGGATCCCTCTGCTATTTTCAAGGCCAGATGCTTTGGAGAGTCATAAAACAACTCTTTGGTCTTCAAGGGCATAGAAGATGCCTTTCGTGGCCTTGTGGCCCCAGCAGCAGCAGCTGCAGCCATCTCCATATCTTTCATCTTACACAACTGTTTAGCCATGGCATCACGCAGTGCTTGGCTCTTGACAGACTTCTCTCTGGCTCTCATTCTTTCTTCAGCAAGCTCCTTGGCCTCCACAGAAATTTCAGGCAACACTCTCTTCTTTTGATTAACCCCTCCTTCCATTGAGGGTGGACCACCATTTTCTTTGACCAAGGGCAAAAGAAGTGGTTTCTCTGGCCTTGGCCTACTGGTAGGAGGTGTAAAGAACTTCTCATGAAGGCTTGAGTCCTCTGTCCTGTCATCATATGTGTCTTCTACATCATCAGCAAATGGAATCTCATCCACACTCTCCGCAAAAGACTTCCGCACATCATCTTTTTTGGCCTGGGTTGACTCTTTGGCAGCAGAGGTCGGCTCACGGCGTGGGGGAGCAGGAGGTGTTGATGCTGGTGTTGGAGGTGACCTGGCTTCAACCTCATTCTGCCAGACTGCTTGATGCCTCTTTCTTCGCAAAGTAGCTGGTTCTTCACCCTGAGGAGGTGGTGGTGGTGGACTCGATGGAGGAGTAAGCATGGTAGAGTCAGAAGTGTTGAAGCTCTGGCTAGCCATAGTTCTCATGTTAGATGAGCTCTCCTGAAGGCCAAGTCCAGAACTGCTGGATACGTCTCTCCTTACTTCACTGGAACTCTTTAGCTCTTTTTCTGATGGAGATTTTGGAGTGAGCAGAGAAATCTGCTCGTTTTCTAACTTGGACAGTCCCTGTCTTCTTGGGGCAGGCTGGGGTTTCACAAGATGGATCCTTTCATCCCCTGAAATATTCTCACTATTGAAAGTCTTCAGAGGAGTTGTCTCAAGGGCAGATACAGTAAAGTTCGTCTCTGAGCGTTTGTTTCTGTCTACTGGGGTAAGCCCTAAGCTCCTCCGGATTTCAGCACTCTTCATCCAGAACTCTTCTACAAGGTTACTCCGTTTCAGGGCTTCTTCTGCAGTAGTAGGGCTCCCCAGTTTTTCCACCTCACTACCCTGGCCCCTAAGGACCAGTTTGGCTAAAGGAGTAGATGTTAAGGCTGGGCCAGGTTGGAAACATACTGGAGGCTCCACTGGGGATGGAATGGATGTTTCGGCAGAAGGCAAAGGCTGGGAACAGATAGGCATTTGAGCAGATGTTGGGGATGAAGCCAACGTTGGTGCTGCTGGCTGAGACTCTGTTAGTGATGTAGGTGCAATGGCTTCAGGTGATGCAACTGGCTGGGATAAGACTGGAGATGGTGGCACCACAGGGCTCTTAACTTTCCTGTCTTTGGGAATTTCATCCTTTGGTCCTTCCTCAAGAATGAAAGGCTCAGCAAAAAAGCGTGCCTCTGGAGATTTCATTGCACGGGATACTTCAGCCAGGGGATCTTTTACATCCTACAAAATGAAAAAGGGAAATATTAGTAGTCACTGGGCATATTAAAATACTGTTCCATTTTTTTTTGCTTTTAAAAAAGTTAGCAATAAGGAAACCATCTAAGTATCAAAATACAAAAAGACATGTGGCATCCCATTCGCGGGCCTGGAACATTACTTAGGATTTCTCATCGGGTTTGGTTCGTTTTTCTGCCCCGTTGTATAAACTGTCCTTTGTAGATGACAACAAGGCAAATTTAATTTTTGGAGGAAAAAACAGTAAACTAAATTCCAGAAATCCATTTCTATCTTTTCCTGCTCTCCCTTTGAATCTCCAACTCTGTATATTGTGGTGGTCCCTTATCTTAGACAAATCTGATGCAAGTCTCTCCAGCTCTCATCAATACAGCACTTTCTGCTGGCTAGCATCTGCTGTAACATTTTCTTAAAGCAAGAGGTGCTTTCTCTGTTAAGAGTAAATTAGGCTGCAATTCCATTGACCCTTAATGGTCTGAGGAGCCTTGGTTTTCACTTTCTACATCTAGACAGCCATATTACTCAGCAGCAGAATTCATTGTTCTACAATTTAACCCTTTGGCAGCGGACTCATTCCGGTATTATTCTTTCCAGTGACATAGAATCACAGAATCCCATGTTGGAAGGGACCTCAAGGATCATCTGGCCCAACCTTTCTGGGTAACAGCACAGTCTAGACAAGATGGCCCAGCACCCTGTCCAGCTGAGTCTTGAAAGTGACCAATGTGGTGGAGTCAACCACTCCCTGGGGAGATTATTCCAATGGGTGACTGTTCTCATGGGGAAAAAATTCCCTCTCATGTCCAATCGGAATCTCCCCAAGAGCAACTTGTGTCCATTCCCCCTTGTCCTCTCCATGGGACTCCTTGTAAAAAGGGAGTCTCCATCTTCCCTGTAGCTACCCCTTAGGCACTGGTATGTGGTGAGCCTCCTTTTCTCCAGGCTGAACAAACCCAGCTCTCTCAGCCCATCCTCATACGGCTGAGAGAGGCTTCCCAGCCCTTGGGTCACCTTAGTGGCCCTGCTCTGGACCCCCTCCAGCCTCCCCGCATCTTTTTTGTATAGCAGGGACCAGAACTGCACACAGGATTCCAGGTGTGGCCTGACCAGCGCTGAGCACCGTGGGATGGTAACTTCTTTATCTCTGCTGGTGATGCCCTTGTTGATGCACCCCAGCACCCTGTTGGCCTCCTTGGTCACAGCAGCATCCTGCTCACATCTTTTGCACCAGCTTTCTTTTGAAAGCAGACAGTTTGGTTTAACTGGCACGTGACCATTAGAGCATGAACCTCTCTATCTGTGTGCTTGCATGACATATATTAAACACCCAGGTCTTGAGTATTGCATTCAGGCACTGTCTTGATATAAACAATAACTATGCCTAACGGAATCATAAGATGGTCCTGAAAAAAACCCCTTAATTTTAATAGAAAGTGAATGTTGTCAACGATTGCTGTCAGCAAACCAGCCTTATCCCATAATGCATCCACTGTAAAAGTAAAATGGTTTATGACATAAGTCTCTAGGATGAAGTCTAATCTTTTAGTAATTCCTTAAAAACAAACACTTGGGAGGGAAAAATTTGAATTGAGCATTTTAAGGGTCATGTACTTCCTGCTCTTACACACCAATAGCAGGGAACACCACAGTATGCTTGCACGCTGACTCCAGGGCTGACAACATGACAGTACATCGTTGACGCGTCTCAATTCCTTAAGCTGAACTATGTTGTTACTCATAAATAAGCACTGCTTTGGTTACTAATAAGTAATACAAATATAATTTTGAATTGCAACTGTATGGAATCTGCTTTTGGTATGGAAAAGATAGCCAAACCAGGAAGTACCTTACTTACGGTTACCCTCACACATTATATACATGTGTGTGTGTGTATATGTATATATATATGTGTGTGTGTATATATACATATTTTGTTAACTGCACATTGAAATTAAAATATCCTATATAATTCTTTCTGGAGCGTTGTGATGGGAACTTGCATGATGGTGACAGAGCCACTACACTCTGAAGACAGGAAAAAAAAAAGTAAGTTATTTTTTAAGTCTAAATGAAATCAGATTTCAAGGAGATCAACAAAAATTATAGAGACAGGGCAAGAGGAAAGCCCGCTGCTGTCAGTCCTCATTAGTTTATCCAACAAACTGTTCTATTGAACTACGGGTAGTAAGGAAAAAACGTCAAAGATTCCCTTTCTTACCTCTGCTTGTTTTGCTTTGGGACTATCAGCTGGAGACAGAGGAAGAACACTGTCGCTAGATGACTGGATAGGGATGGATGGCTTGCACAGATCTAGGGAAAACAAAAATGTTTCCAAAACCACATGAGACCACTAGTATTCTTTTTTTTTTTTTTATGTTACACACAACAAGTAGTGACAAATTTCTCAGCTTTTTACAAATTCTAGATTGGACATCTGGAACACAGACAAAAATTTTTAAATGTCAAAAATGGTACAAGCCTTTTAATGTAAATACTTCTACAAGAAAAAGCAGTTAGATGGGTTCTCATGCTTTAGGAAGCTGTAATTAATGGATTCAGAACGTTCCTCTCAAAATGTTAATGCAAGCATATACCTGGCCACTGAGAGTATTGAGATGGTTCAAATCCAAGAGACTCTTCTCTTCTCTTAAATCTATTACATGTATAGACTATCTCAAAAGCAATTACAATCATTCAAACACTGATGGGAAAGCTATTACCTTCTGTCACACTGCTAGAAACACCTTCTGCTCCTTCTTCATCTTCTTCATCTTCAGAGACTTTTAGTCCTGGCTCTTCTAAGCCACCTTGATGTAAGCGGAACTCCGCTTCTGCATCAGATGGAATGTCATCTGATCATGGATGGGGCGGGGATAAAAAACAAGAAGTCCATCAGGACATCTGTTTATTATTTAACAGTCTTTCATAAACCTTTCTTTCTATTCACATGGTGCTAATAATTTTCATAACCTGAACACCTAAATGTTTCACTTCTTTTTTTGTGTGTGCTAATTAAGAGTCATTTAAGCAGTAAATAATGGACTATTAGTGCAAATAACTGAACTAGTAATTGAAGTCTATACCTCACCAGTTTTCTGGAAATTTTTCAATTATATTAGCCATATGCAGTTCATTTTACACTAGCAAGGGAAGATTTTTGGCATAATA